TTCATTAGATTTTGGCCATCATTGATCGAGGGCTCAAAATAAAACATTTGACGGTATCCATTGATACATTTTAGATTCCAATACAAAGGGGATACTCCACATTAGCTATAAAGGCTTTATCAGTTTTATTGCAATTTTCTGATTCTTATTTATTGGAATTAGAATTCTAAACCCTAAATAACATCTATAATAAGTGTTGTGGATTCCGGGTTGAAATCCGGTACCAATAAATAACAAACGCCAGGAATGAATATAGGAAAATAATGTATTAACGTAATAATACAAACTGGTAAAACAGGTTAGTAGTTCTAGGAATACGTGTTAGTAGTAAAATATATATACAGTCTTTGGAATTGAAGTATCGCTGTATGACTTCTTACTGAGTCTACGTGCTCGCTCACTGTGATTCCTACAACGCTGTTACCTCAGCCTCACTCTTCCGGTTACCTACAACCTTTTACTCTGTCACTCTGGACTCGACTCTTCGGTCTTGCTCGCTATTTATCGATCCACCCACGAGGATTGAATATGGCACAAGGCCGGTTTAATGTGGGTATCTCCGAGCCCGTAGGCTCGGCCAAAAAAATATAGCCTTTTGAACCCGCCTAGACGGGTTCAGGCCCTGTTTACCTCCCCGAACGAAACCTTGCCCTTCGGCAAAGCTTCGTCCGGGTTCCTCTCTGCTAACGCAGAGAGTTCGACGAACGTCGCTTACAGTCAAAGACTGTATCACGACAGCTAGACTCGGAGGTCTTGCTCGGTATTTATCGATCCACCCACGAGGATTGAATGTGGCACAAGGCCGGTTTAACTCGGAGGTCTTGCTCGCTATTTATCTACCCACCCACAAGGATTAAATATGGCACAAGGCCGGTTTAGTGTGGGTATCCCCGAGCCCGTAGGCTCGGCCAAAAATATAGCCTTTTTAGAACCGCATTGACGGATTCAGGCTCTGTCTATTTCCCCGAACGAAACCTTGGCCTTCGGCAAAGCTTCGTCCGGGCTCCTCTCTGCTAATGCAGAGAGTTTGACAGTCGTCGCTTACAGTCAAAGACTGTATCACGACAGCTAGACTCGGAGGTATAGACTGGATGAGTCCATTTGTGTAAAAAGGGGAGCGTCCCTCAACAATAAGAAATGAGAAAGACAAGGATTAACTGAAGAAGTAATGGGACTCTGCTTATTGCAGATTCGACCAAACATTGAAGAAATCGTCAAAAACACCAGGCGTAGGTTTCATACTAAATAAGCTGCACAATAATTCAATAGTTGAATAAAAACATTGAAATAAAATAAGTTCAAATTAGTGTGTGTATTTCCTTTTAAATCTTTGGTTTGATTTCATAGCGTTTAAATGTATATCCTTTAAAAATGTTGCTAAGTGTGCCATGATATTTTCATTTGCTTTTAGGTGCGATATTGCTTAATACTGTAACAGGTTGTTGTTCTTACAATGTCTTACCCACCAATTAAAGATATTCGTTTTTTAGGGGGGGATTTTTTTAGGTGTTTCGATCCGTTAACTTCTCTTTACTCCCACGTGTGTGCACATAAACACACACTTATTTTTTTTTTCATATAATCTCCATGCTAACAGTTTCTTCCATCGCACTTCTCACTTGTAGAACTCTCTTCCGGTTTCTTGAATCCACGTTAATGTTGACCTTCAAAAATTAAAATGCAGTGTCAATCGTTATCTTCGGCATCTTTAATTCCTGTTTTTCTTTTTGTTTTGTTTTTCTCTCTCTGTTCTCTCTGCTTAATAATTATTTTTCTCTTAGTCTCTTTACACCTAGTGACCCCTTGCGTGTTAGAGGTTTTATTGCCTTGTTTGTGTTTCGGGGATGATTAAAAAAGAAGTGATGGATAAAAATATCCAATCGCATCCATTTTAAATCCCACGGCCATAAGCAAAGATATTGGAACCTTTTATTATCGACTTTATTGCTACACAGAGAGTGTAATAGAAACCGTTCTGTTACAGATAACATTTACAATTCACGACTTGTTGTCATGACATCTTGGATTGTGATTAATCTACTTTTCCTTCCTCGAATATCGCATCCTCATTTGGGATACGATCGCTTGCGTGTGCTCTCTTTTTAATTTTTCCATTTGTTCTTTTCCCTCTCTCTGCTCCTTTGGCGATCAATCTATTCCCTCACTTTCTTTTGTGAATCAATAAGCTAAGTTCTGTAGTCGAGTGGCATTGATAAATAACTAGTCTGCGATATTTACTTACATTGGCACAGAACAATGATAAATGTTTATGGGAAAGGATAGGTTAAATGATTTTATTTCGCCTTTTAAGGGTAGCTTGGGTAGAAAAATGAATAGTCAAAATCCTGTTTGTTACCTGGGTTCCAAACACGATTACTGACACTAGTGGCAAATAGGCCGCCATTTAATACATCACATACGACTTCATATTTTTCTTAACTTCATTGATTCAATAACTTCATTTAACGCAATGAACGTTGGTTCTCTGTGTCGGGCCAAAATGTTTTTTCTCGCCTGTATCCATCCTTCAAATATACTAATCAACCATTTGTCCTTGCATTGAATACTGTTGCCATATATGGTCTGGTGCCCCCCGCTGTTTATCTCAATGTCTTAGGCAAAATCCATAGACAGATATGCAATGTGATAGCTCCTGATCTGGCATCTTATCTACATTCACTTTCTCACAAACGTGCTATGGTTTGGTTAAATGTAACCGTCTTTTCTATTTCAACAGCTTCCTCATCGCACTTCCCGACTGTGGAACTACTTGCTTCCCAGATAGCTGTCAATCGACATCTTCTGATGCATTGATCTTGATCCCCGTCCTTCTCTTTATCCTTTCCTCAAACACTCTTTAATCTTGCTCTCATTCTCTGTAAACCCTTGTGTTTAGTGACAAAATGTCTTGCTTGGAGTGATATGCATTAAAAAAAAAATTAAAAAAAACTTCAATGAGAGAGAGTTCAAACCTTCCGGGAAGGCTGGTAGTTTTAGCTTTGTACTGAGTAAACAGGCATATTCAAGCATTTGTATATCCAAGGTTATTTTCGGCATGTCTGTTGGAGTTATTAAAATTATGCTTAACCTAAAAACGTCATTGACTTTGACATCAGTAAAATACTTGACAGATTGTATTTTAATAATACTTTTTTTTTTTTAGGTAGAATGATTGTCGAAAATGTAAACGGGAAAATAAACAACTCGGTGTCAAGCTTTCTTCGTCCGGTCATAAACCTTTTTTCAGATATCGTCTGTTCTTATGCTTTTACGGTTGTGTCTACAATTACAGCATTCAGCAGACATTTTGGTTTACCGCCATGAGATATCCTTGCTTACGGTGATATACTTAAACAATATTAAACTATTTCATTTTTTTTTTATAATTATATTATAGTCGGGTGCTCCTTTCCGAGTATATACTTGTCTAATATGATGGCTAGTTAATCTTTGTTGTAGACACCTGCTCAGGTACATTACTTTTCTTCAAAACCCACACAGCCAAATGATAGTTTATATTGCAACCATTTAAGAGCATCATTTAAAGTTTCTGGGAGAAAGCGCATAATATGGCGTGATCAGAGTCGAATAAGGTCTATACAATCAAATCCTCGGTCACGATGACAGGTAAGATCGTGCTGGCAAAACTAACGACGATTTCGTCAATTCAGTCTCACTTCGGATAATTTCTGATCGAATTTCTCCCTAGTCTGAGAAGGGTTATTTATAATTTTGAAAAGTCAATCAATAAAATAAATCAACACAAATTGCCTATTATTTTTTTTAATAATATTTGCCTTAAAGAACATTTGCTTCCTAAATACACAGAATATGTTCTCGTTCACCAATTGAGAAATATGGGGTAAAGTGATTTTTAATGGCAGCTGCTGTTTTAAATGCATCGCTCTTCGAAAGAACTGAGCGCTACGGCGACCGGTATGGTGTTTGTATACATCATGTACATAATACGTTAAAAATCCCCTTTCTCTTACGTGTCCCGATAGCCTATATTAAGTGTCTCTGACTGATGTCAAATCGGTCGAGTTTCGATCCTGGTTTGAAGCAATCGGATGTCTAGTCACACTGGTGAGCTGTGATACAGCGAAATAGTCCGTCTGTGAATGACTATCTATCTATCTATCTATATATATATATATATATATATATATATATATATGATGGACTCTTCCGTGGTTTTCAACGTATGAGTGTCTTTCGGTTCAGTTTTTATGTTTATGTTTCGTATGAAACAACAAACTTACACGGAATTTGCAAACAAATCCACACGAAGGACATACAGAAAGGTTGGCCGTCACATGGGTTGATGTATTAACCGGAGATTTAGTGTTAATTCTTAATTCTCTCAGATGTTTGAGACAATTCCTTTCAAAGTTAGTTATACCTCGGTAGCAGGTAATTCTCTAGTTTGCTCGGTTTTCAACAGCAAGTTCGAACTTCTCTATAGGGATTTTTGCAGCAATTGAACTGTATTTAAGCTTTTATCCTTGATGCCTAACCAAGGACGGCCAACGTTACGCTCTGACCATGAAATAGTTGGCTCTACATGATGATTTTCGGCGTCGATCATCTCTCATTCTAATGACATGATTAGTCCATCTGAACTGTAATTGCATCAGAAAGGAATCAATAACACCGACACCACATTTGATGAAAAGATCAGGGTTAGAGATTTTGTCCTGCAGTGTATAACCGCATACTGAACGAAGACAGCGTTTTTGAAAAGTATCAAATTGATTGAGGTGGGCCCTATATTGCGTCAACGATTCTGACCCATACAGAAGTGTAATGAGAATGACTGCTAGATTGATAGTGTACAAAAATTAAACCCCCAAACTCCGTTTTGAAAATGGCTAAAGGATGAATAGAAATCGTTCAGGACAATAATCATTATGAAACGTTCCTGCATTGCCTTCGTCGGCACAACAGTAATACTGTAAGAACGCCAGAAAAATGGGTACAAAACGGAAGAAAAACAGTACAAATATTCTTTGTCCGTCGTATTCAATGAAAGAGAGAGAGAGAGAGAGAGAGAGAGAGAGAGAGAGAGAGAGATGAGAGGTCTAGAATATAGGCTGAGTGGTATATACAGGTACTGTGCATTGTTCCTCTGTATACAGAAAAATTTTAAAGAAGGCATATATATATATATATATATATATAAAGCACAGCTAGAAAGCAATGTATGATTATAAAATATATATATATATATATATATATATATATATATAAAGCACAGCTTAGAAAGCAATGTATGACAAATTATAAAATGTTCATCTATATATATATATATATATATATATATATATATATATATATATATATATATATAAAAGCACAGCTTAGAAAAGCAATGTATGACAAATTATATATATATATATATATATATATATATATATATATATATATATATATAAAAAGCACAGCTTAGAAAGCAAAATGTATGACAAATTATAAAATGTTCATATATATATATATATATATATATATATATATATATATATATAAAGCACAGCTTAGAAAGCAATGTATGACAAATTATAAAATGTTCATCTATATATATATATATATATATATATATATATATATATATATATATATATATAAAACCAAGCTTTAGAAAGTAACCGCTTATAAAATGTTCAAATATATATATATATATATATATATATATATATATATAAAGCAATGTGTATGACAAATTATAAAATGTTCATCTATATATATATATATATATATATATATATATATATATATATATATATATAAAGCATACAGCTTTGTATGACAAATTATAAATGTTCATATATATATATATATATATATATATATATATATATATATATATATAAAGCACATTTGAACTTTTTCCAGTATGACAAATTATAAAATGTTTTCTATATATATATATATATATATATATATATATATATATATATATATATATATATAAAATCGTTATGATATATATATATATATATATATATATATATATATATATATATAATAGAAAGGACAAAGAACTTTTTTCCAGTTTGTCACAATTATTTTTGATAAGACATTTTATATTATATATATTCTTTTTTTTAAGACATTTTTGTTTATACAAAGATACAAATTTTTAAGTAAATGCTCTGTTTTATGATAATCAGTATTAATAACATTTACCGGCCTGAATACCCGAGAAAATTTCATTGTAAATATTCGTTCTCCGACAGGAATCGAACCTGTATCCTATACGAAACTGTCATTGAGCCACGGAGAATCGTTCGATTGGCAAGATCGATTTTACTGTTTTTAAACTTCAAACTTCCATGAATCTCTCACGTACATTCATATCTGCTCAAAGCGTATCCAAATGTAAACAAATGACGTCATACATTATGAAATGGACAAAGTACGACAATTATTTCGTAATGTATAAACATAAAAATGTCTTAAAATAATATATATATATATCTGAACATTATTTCAATCCTTCATTAACTTCCCGGTGCTTAGCTATGATAAATTAAGGATGACTATGTCATTTTCGTTTATAATCGATTTCATCACAATTCTTCTGTAAAACTTGGAGAGGAATTATACATACTTATTGCTCAAAGTAGAGTTCAATAGTGTTATAAAAACGTAGAAGAATTCCAGTAAGAAATCTTTAATCAGTTCTAGGATGCAATGGTTCAGAAGTTAATCTAACAAATAGACAATTTTGGTTTTACTCGATTTCGACAATACCCACTATATATATATATATATATATATATATATATATATATTGTTCGGAATTTTGTTCTCATCTTTTGAATTTTGAGACACATGGTCTCGTGGATTAAAGCACTAAGGAACCTTAATGTAAATTTAGTGTATTTAGGTAAAAAACGAAGACGGTAAAAATAATTTGAAACACCTTAAACGTAACATCTTATGGTTTTATCCACCTTTTAAATGTTCAAACGATTATCGTAAGAATTTTCCAAAATTTAATTCATATGCACTTTATCTATTCACCAACACTAACAAAGATTTTTAACAAAAAGTAATGTAATGGTCAGCTATAGTTGCATTAACAACATCGATAAATCTATATCCCAACACAAATTATATTTCTCAAAAAGACATTTTTTTTCAATAAATGCAACTGCCGAAAAAAGTATGATCTGTCCCTTAAACGGTCAATGCATGACTGATAATATTGTACATCGAGCTAGCATATAATCCAGTAACGATGTCACATTTTATTTTGGTTCCACTGAAAATCCTTGGAAATTTCGTTACTTCCATGACTTTAGGCAATATACAATACAAAAATAGCACTGCTCTCTCTAAATATTTAGGGCAATTAAAGAATGATGATAACACACCTATTATTATCTGGGATATTGTAACAAGAGCCAAATCTTACAAAGGGAATAGATGTAATTTATGTCTTTTTTAAAATTAGTTATCATAAAGCACTTAAATAAATGTGGCTTCTTAAGAACGAGAATGAATTGATGGTTACATGTAAGCGGAAAAGAAATATCTGCTTAAATGCGCTGATCCAAATTAAATTTTAATATAAATTATGTTTTTTTAAACCAAAGAACAAGTAATCTTCCTTTATGTTGAATATAAAATACGTTTTATATACATATACAAATACAGTTTATTTTAAATGTCAAATATATATTTTTTCAAAAATTAAAATACTATTATCACATTATAAAATATAACTGCGCCAACATTGCGCTAACAAGTTATTTTTATTAAAAAATTTAAATTTATTATGTAACGCTCACTGTATACTCAGCTACCGATGATTGCGTTGTGCTTGAAACTGAATTATGCTATCGGTGAGGGGTAATATATATTTCGGTTGAGCTCTCTGGGGAGGAAGTGTGGGCTTGTAAACAGTGATTATTACGGCTAATAATGCATGTCTCTTCGTTCAATCGAATCGAGTTCTCTCAGTCACTCTGTGTTTATCTAAAAATAAATACGCTTTAATTCAACTTCATCCTGCCGTGCGCCAACGGCTTAGGATAGAATCCCTGACTGACGCCAATTCAATCAGGTTTCGATCCAAGCTAGAGAACTTCTAGCCATACTGATGAGCTGTGATACAGCGAAACAGTCTGTCTCTGGATGACAACATATATATATATATATATATATATATATATATATATATATATATATATATATATATATAAGTGCTCAGTGTTCAAGCAAGATAAATGATGGCTATCTTATGCATCATCTGCCAGAAATATTGACGAAATACCATGGCCGATTCCAAAAATTCCTTCCATTTTAACTTGCTCCAGACAAGGCTATGATTAGTATATATCTGTGGCTTACCTCATGACTGAAATAACTATTTTCCATGGTTGCAAATAGTCGGTTTTCAAGTCCATACAAATGCTAGGATTTCGACCGACAATATATATATATATATTTATATAACCACACACACACACACACACACACACACACACACACACACACACACACACACACACATATATATATATATATATATATATATATATATATATATATATATATATATATATATATATTAGCCACGGATGATTTTTTCCTATTTAGATTATATAACAACAATTTTCCATCTTTTCACACGCTTCTTAACAAGCCATGTCTATATCTTCTTCTAATTCACAGCAGATTATCTCATTTTACATCCGGTATCGTCTCCGTTTTCTGCGTCCTATTTTTGATGTTCCCCATTCTTTGCTACTCTCAGCCTCGTCTTGGTTTCTTATGACTTTTCATTTCGCCTCTCGCGTCATGTTTTGATTTCCTGAACACTTTTCTTTGGACATACCGTTTCGCAAATAAATCCCCCCCCTTATTCAACCCCGTTACTTTCTTCTTTCTATGCCTTTTCTATTGCACAATTTAATCATTGGAGCAGACCATCTTCCTCTCGACATGTCTTTATATCTTCACTTTCTTAGTCATTCGTAGCAAAGATCTTCCCTCTTTTTTCTGGTTATAAAATTAAACTTTCACAGTTTCTTCCTCTCTTTCTTTCTTTCTTTTTTTTTCATTCATTCTTCTTTCTCACGTTCTTTACTATGCAATGACTTTTCCATTTTATTGACTCCCTGCCACCTCATCTTCTCCATTGAACTACTCAAACTTCTCGCTGTTTTTATCATATCTTTCGCCTATGTTTCTTCTTCTTCTTCTTCTTCTTCTTCTTCTTCTTCTTCTTCTTCTTCGCAATGACCTTCTTCTTCTCATTCATTGACCTTCTTCTACTTCCTTTCATCTACTGGCTTTCTTCTTCTTCTTCTTCTTCTTCTTCTTCCTCGCTATCTGCTAGATGGCCCAATTTCGAACATTTAAGATCGCTTTATTTTTTTTTAACTAACCTCTGGTCACATCTCTCGATTTGAACATCAAACCCCTCGATTCTTGGTATATTGATCTATCCAATGAAGCAAATCAATCAACAGCCATAATTACGAGGATGTATCGTAATTTATTATCTTGCTCATTTTCCCATGCTCTTACTCTCTCGGTCTCTTCATCTCTCATTTTTTTCTTCATCATTCATTTGCTCTGTCTATCGCTGTTTCCTTCTTAATCTGATTATGTCGGTCCTTTTCCTTACTGCCTTTGTTTCTAGATTTCTTTTTCTGACAGTTTTACTTTCTCTATTTTTACCTTATTTCTTATTCACCCTTTTTTCTCTCTCTCTTCGCTCTCTCTCTCTCTCTCTCTCCACACACACACACACACACACACACACACATATATATATATATATATATATATATATATATATATATATATATATATATAGGTAACTATACTCGTTTCGAAAAAGCTTCGAATTTTTGATTTGCCAATAATCAAATCAATCTCGAAGGAAAAAAAGGTTTTAAAAAAAGAAAGAGCTAGAAACATGAAAGTCTGTCGAAAAAATCGCACAGATACAGGTTTGAAGCCCAAAGAAAAAACCCCGACACGAGTAAACAACTAACTAAAAAGAGCTCAATATAACCGTAGAGCAGACCTACTCAAACCTACTGAACCAGAAAAACCTACCCAGGTTTCACCTAAGCGAATCCTGACGACCCACTTAAGTGAAACCTGGGTAGGTTTATCTGGCTCACTAGGTTTGACTATATATATATATATATATATAAAATGCTCTTATTTTTTCGGTCTCTGTCATTTTTACTCTCTTTCTCTCCGTTTCTATCTCCCTTATTTACATTCTTGCATTTCTTACAGTTTTCTGTTTTTATTACTCTTTTATTTTCTTTGTCTCACTCTTTCCTTCTTTCTTTCCTGTATCTTTTTTACTTTCTCCGCTCTCTCTTTCTCTTTCTCTCTCTCTCTCTCTCTCTCCCTCCCTCTCTCTTATTCTGTCTATCTCCTATATTCTTGCTCTCTTTTTATCTCTTTCTCATCCTTACTCTTTTAGTCTCTCTGTTCTTATTTTCTTACTTATTTTATCTCACTTTGTTTCGCTTTCTTACTCTTTTACTCTCTCCGTCTATCTATTTCTTATTCTCTTACTCACTCCTTGTCCTCCTCTTATTACTTTATCTGTCCCCCTCTCTTTTACTATCTGTCTTTTTCATAATCTATCTATCTATCTATCTATCTATCTATCACTTTAATAATTACTATCTTTTTGTGAAATTATCATCTTTATCGTATATTTTCCCGGTTTTCTTGACACATTTCACCGCCATACCCCTTCCATTATCGTCTCTCCTATTTTCTCTTCTGAATCAGCCCTCGGATTATCTTCAACGTCTGAGACGATTTTAATATGTATCACCTCCATCTTCAAACCTCTATCTCTCCATTTCTGTCGTCCTTTATTCAACCCTCTCTCTCCGCTTCTTCCGTCATTTATTATCTCATATCCGTGTTCCGGAATTTTTGCTTTAATATTCGGGTTGCGCTTTCTCCTCACTCTTCAAAACGCCATTTTTTTTTTTTTTGTTGTTATTTTGTGCAAGTCCCATTCGAGATTGCACAAAATAAATACATCAAGACAGTCGATACGAAAAAGAAGCTTTACAAAATATTGGAATATTCAATATATGCCGAGAAGCAGAATATAAACGACATCGAGGCATTCAGTATAAAAAGAAGTACAAGTCGACTGCGAACATTATAAGAACAGTATATTATTAATGTCTGCGTAGTTAGCTTAGGGTCGAAATGATGTCACTACATGGTGAAAAATATTCTGCGGTTCGATACTTTGAGTCGAGTCGAGAAAAAAAACAAAAAGAAAAAAGAATTATCAACCTTCAAATAGTAAAAGAGAGATTAGAGTTTGTTTTCCTTTTTTTGTTTTTTTCCTCTGGTTCACAAGGCCCAAGAAGCTCTCATGATAGAGGGTTACTGAAATAAGTAGTTCTGTTGAAGCAATAGATGACAATAAGAAGTGCGGAATATGAAGATACTAGCAGCATGGCATGCGTTGACCGTGCTTGATTCAAAAATCGTACGACTCATACAGCAATCGCTATCACTTGACTTAAAATATTCTTGCCCTTCCTTGCCTTTAAAGGAGTGCCCTTTGCCGTGCTGATGTTGCTACATGCCTTACTTCTTGCCTATCTCACACTGCGAATTTTTTCTAAGCTCTATACTAAATATTAAATCTGTTACGAAAAAAGAACTAAACAAAATGAACACAAAACGATCAGCTTTAAAAAAGGACTCGTAACTGGAAAAACCGAATGAAGCCTAGAGTTAACTGTTATCTTCTCCTGCTATTCATATAAAATACATCTTAATGTAGCCAATACCTCGAGTGGCTCACGGACCTTGTACTAGGTGCAACTTACTGTAAAAAAAAAATTATATATACCTGTATGAAATATATTTTACAGATATTTACTCTAAACTTGTAATATGCAATGTTATCTCACGAATAAATGGGAGGTGGTACATATGAATATTTTGAAACTTAAGACACGACTCCGTAAGTTATTAATAATTGCGTTTGTTAAAGTTCAATGACTGCAAGCAATGCATTTGATGTAAAATAAATTGACTAGACACCAAGTATCCACCCAAAGATTATTTTTCTATTTTAGGAAAAAAATAGCCGCTTTTCATTGGAACCTCCACCCTGTTTATTGAATATTATTAAATTGAAAGAATTTCCATATTTACTACAGACAGTTTATTTGATACTAGCAGCATGGCCCGGCGTTGCCCGTGCTTGATTCAAAAATCGTACGACTCATACAGCAATCGCTATCACTTGACTTAAAATATTCTTGCCCTTCCTTGCCTTTAAAGGAGTGCCCTTTTCCGTGCTGATGTTGCTACATGCCTTACTTCCTGCCTATCTCACACTGCGAATTTTTTCTAAGCTCTATACTAAACATTAAATCTGTTACGAAAAAAGAACTAAACAAAATGAACACAAAACGATCAGCTTTAAAAAAGTAAGGACTCGTAATTGAAAAACCGAATGAAAAAAGAATGTTAACAACAAATACTTTCACACCCAACCCAGTTCTGCGGAATCAGAATCAACGTTGAGTTTAAGCAAGCGAATGAGCCAATTGGAGTAAACTGCCATGCAGATTTAAATTTTTCCCACTTGTGGCGAAAGCAGCTATCAATTTTTTTGTGCATGCTAGTTGACATTCGTATCAGTCAGCTGTTGGCTCTCACGCTGGCCAATAGAATCTACCTGCCTACTCGTGGCAGCCAGCTATAGGCTCTCACTCTGGCCAGTAGAAAATGGTCGCAAACTTCATGAAAACTGCCGTAGAAGCATGAAAAAATTGATTATTTCCACTATCGATGGGAGTTGGGAAATGCAAAGTCTGTCTTGGCCTTCCCGCTAACTTGGAACATGTGCATGTAAATTTTGGTGCAAATCCGTCGAAAATTGTGGCCGTGCATTCGTTACACACACACACACACACACACACACACACACACACACACACACACATCCTGCCTTTTATAGATAGAGATGTAGACTTGAAAAATAGACTTAAAACGGATAAGATTTTAGTTATCAAGGTAGCATCCTCTCGGGAGTGTTCCATGTGGTGGGAGTTTGTAGGGAGAAACTTTCTGAATAGAATTTTCTTCTTAATAATGATAAATAAAAAGAATGAGGATGATTCGTTTCAAAGTATGCGATATGGCGGGTCTTAGCTCTGAAGATCTGAACCTGTTCAATTTAGGAATTTAATTAATCAGAACATTATCCATGGAAATAGCGATAAAGAAGCAATAGACTTGCTAAGTTTCATTTGTTGGAAAAGATCTCTTGATTGATTGATTGATTCATTTATTTTTTGATGGCTTATCAACCCTTTGCAGGTTATTTAAATCTATTTTTAGATTGTGAGAATAATTTTTTTTAGATAATAATGGTTTACTGCTCTGTCGGATGGACCTTCAGAATAAACCAACTGCACTCCTGCAAAAGAAAAAACAATATATTCATATATTTTCGAAAAAAAATTACCAGCAATAAATATTTTGTCGGCATTAAATAAACAATTGAGGTTGATACGCCATAAAAAAAAACAAAAAAAAACAAAAAAAAACTAATAATGATTTAGTGATACAAGTTTACTGATTAACCCATAGCTGAGGGGTGAAATGGTGGATTCATAACTTTTCCCAGGAGTATTTACGCGGAAGTGAATATAACGAACCCAACTGGAATTGGGACTCGGATCTCTGATTAAAAATTCAGAGCTAGTATCCATTACACCAACCACCCATTCAAGTTTACAGCAGCTGGTGTTCCCAAGCGGTCACCCATCTAGGTACTGACCAGGCTCGATGTTGCTGAAGTTCAGTGATCGTACGGGAATCGGTATTTCAACATGATGTGCCTGGAAACCTTGTGTAGGTTGGAAATCATTCATCACGCATAGACACTTCTGAATTTTATCAAAGCTGGAAAATGACCATTCGCGAGGCAGGATGTGGCACAAGGCCGTTTTTAATACGGGGTAAAACAGAGCCCGTAGGCTCGGGCAACAATTCCCCGTAGACTCCGTATACACGGGGTCGGGTAGCTATCTACCACACCAGACGAGACTCAGCACTTCAGCATAGCCTCTTCTGTGTTCTTCTCTGCTCGAAGTCAGAGAGTTCGATTAGCACAGCCGGAGACGAATCTGCAACTAATTGCAGAAGCAAGGTTATTTACCTTACCTCCACGCGGGGCAGGATGTGGCACAAGGTCGTTTTTTAATGCGGAGTAAATCTGAACGCGTAGGATCGGGGAAGAATTTCCCGTAGACCCCGTATACATGGGGTCGAATAGCTGTCTACCACCCAAGAGGAGACTCAGCACTTCGGCATAGTCTCGTCTGGGTTCCTCTCTGCCCGAAGGCAGAGAGTTCGATCACCTTAGTTGGAGACGAATCTCCAACTAATTGGCGAAGCAAGGTTATTAACCTGACCATACAGCGAGGCAGGATGTGGCACAAGGCCTTTTTTAAAATTTGGGGTAAATCCGAGACCGTGGCCTCGAGCAAAAATTCCCCGTATACCCCGTGAAAAACGAGGTCGAGTAGCTATCTACCTCCCCAGACGAGACTCTGCCCTTCGGCCTAGCCTCGTCTGGCTTCCTCTCCACCCGAAGGCATAGAGTTCGATCAACACTGCCAGAAACGAACCTGCAACTAATTGCCAAAGCAAGGATATTTGCCAACCGCCCCACGCGGTCAGTTGTGGCACAAGGCCGAATTTAAAATGGGGTACCCTAGCCCGTAAGCTCAGGCAAAAATTACCCGTAGACCCTGTAAAAACGGGGTCGGAAAGCTGTCTACCATCCCAGACGATGCTCTGCCCTTCGGCATAGCCTAGTCTGGGTTCCTCTTCACCCGGAGGTAGAGAGTTCGACCACCTTAGCTGAAGACGAATTTCCAACTAATTGCCGAAGCAAGACTCCAGGTATACCCTGTGCTCACTATATATAGCTACTGATATAATCAGTCCACATAGGCGATAGGGAGTGTGGGACAATCCTTTAACGGTATACCCATGAGTATTGGTAATTTTTAAATTGCATAATGAGATGTGTACATAGTTAAGTGGTATCGGTGAAGTAGTTGAGATCGGCGAGCCGGGTTCAAATTTCAATCGCGGTCGTTACCTTCACTTTCGACGCAATCCTTTTGCTCTGGGTTTAAATAGCAGTGTAGATTGCTTACTCTTGCCTTCGTTGGTAACAGTCTAAGTATAGACAAATCTGGATGAGAAGAAATTGGTTGGACGTGGGTTTAATAACTCCACTCCATAAAATATTGTTGCCATTGCAGCAACAAAAGTCTCACAAGAAACCTGTATTGTCTCTGTGAATAAGGTCTGCACTAGCTTTTTAAAACATCACTATGAGTAAAAGGAATTGATTCATTTCATTCCACGGGTCTTAATTCAGAATAATCATTTTATAGTGGAGACTTATCTTGGCGACCCCAAAGAGACGGAGTCACGTGTATGTTTTGCAATGCAGTGTGGAGACGGCGAATTGGCTAGCGTCGGACTGAAGGTGAATCGGGCTGTACTTCTTGTGGGTGGAAGTGGTAGTGTTGCTTATAGATATTTCTATTGACTGGTTCTAGGCGCTCCAGGAATTGCGTACTTGAGATTGAGTAAAGAAGATAATTGCGGAAGTGATTTGCCTACTGGATTCGTAGATAGTTTGTGTTTTTTTTTTTTTACTTGTGTGTCCTTCTGACCAATTCTTACACACATTTTCATTGATTGGCTATAACACAATGCTAAGTGAACCAGTCTACCCTACTCTTTAAATCACCAATATGAGGAGCAGAAACTCACGCCTTGCCCAAGTGCGAGGTAAACGCCACAGACTAGATCGGAATTTGGTCTCTGTTCCCAGATTCCACTTTCTGTTATTGA